GTAGTATTCCATTGTATAAATATACCACAGCTTCTTTATCCAGTCATCTGTCGATGGACATTTAGGTTGCTTCCATCTCTTGGCTATTGTATATAGTGCTGCTAAGAACATTGGGGTGCAGGTGTCATTTTGAATTAAGGTTCCCTCTGGATATATGCCCAGGAGTGGGATTGCTGGGTCATATGGTAAGCCTATTTTTAATCTTTTGAGGAATCTCCATACTGTTTTCCACAGTGGCTGCACCAAACTACATTCCCACCAACAGTGTAGGAGGGTTCCCTTTTCTCCACACCCCCTCCAGCATTTATTGTTTGTGGACTTTTGAATGATAAGCCCACCATCTAACACTTAGATGCTACCATTCCCTAAAGAGAATGCAGAGAGGCAAAACTTACCTAAAACTGGGAAATCGCCAGAATAGCACATGGAAAGAAGGGAGGTAGAAAATCTATTTTTAAACTATAGGTGGCATCTTTTGGGAAAGGTTGAAAATTTCATTGTTGAAAATGGTGATGGCTGTTCCTCCCTTTGACAAATACGGACATGGAGGTCATGGCTGGAAAAAGCTTGTGGAAAAGGGAAGTTGGAGTAAATGAGCTGGAAGGTTTGGAATGCACCAACACTTCCTGTAAGTAAAGGCGGGAGCTTGTTCCCCTCCCCCTTGTCCCAGCCCAGCTCCAATACTAAGCTCTCTAATTCCCAGATCTTCTGTTGAAGCATACTTCCCTCCCTGTTCAACCCCACCAAACTCCAGACCTAACCCACTGGCCTCCAGGGAAATGGCAGGGTGGGGCTGAGGCCAGGATGACAGCTCCAAGGGCAACTGTCAGTGCTGCCCTGTCTCCAGAAGCCAGTAGAAGGAATGATACACAGAGGAAGGGAGCTAAGTTGTTACCTGGGGGGAAAGCTGGACTCTCTGTCCAGCTCATCAGTGGCCACTTCTCCGAAGATTTGACTCTGGGACCTCGCTGAAAAATCTGAAAGGGCTGAAGGTGGGGGGCATGGGGGGGGCAGTAACTCACTAGGGGGCAGACATTTTGGTAAAATTTTGGTAAAAACTGAGGAAGAGTAACTAGCAGCCTAGGAGACAGGCCTGGCTTGAAACAGGGGCTGCTGACTGGGCTCCTCAAAGAGTGATTTGAGACCTGGGAGGAAGCTAGTTTTCCTGTTAGAAACCTTGAAAGTTCCAGAGCATCACTTCTGCCACATTCTGTGGGTCTAGCAAGCCTTGAAGGGCAACCCAGATCGCAAAAGGAGGAGAGGCCAAGATTTGTGACCATCTGTAATCTACCACACATCCCCATTTGCCAGAAAGAATAAGTGAGGCTCACAGTGGCATCTGACTGCTTCTGGGGCATACAGTTGTTGGACCCCATGCTAGATTCCTATTGCCACTATGACAGCTCACCCCAAGCATCGTGATTGCAGCCAGCAAATTTCTTCTCTTCTAGTTCCGGAGGTAGAAGACTGAAGGGTGTCTTACAGGTGAAAATTAAGGTTTCAGCAGAATGGTGTTTCTCCTGGAGGCTCCAGGGGAGAATTTGTTCCCTTGCCTTTCTCGGCTTTTAGAGGCCGCCTGCAGCCCTCGGCTGCAGGCCCGTCCTCCACACTGGAGCACACACTCCAGCCTCTGCTGTCGCCGCGCCTCCTCTCTGACTCTGACCCTCTTGCCTCCCTCTCATAAGCATGTCTGTCATTAAATCGGGCCCACCCAGCTCATGTTGGATAATCTCTCCACCTCAAGATCCTTAAGTTAATCCCATCAGCAAGGTCCCTTTTGCCACATAAGGTAACATATTCAGTTTCCGAGGATCAGGACATGGACATGGGAGCTCATGATTCTGTCTGCTACGTCCAGATAGTGAGCCTGACCTGGCGCGCAGGCGCCCAGCTCATAAGGTGTTTCCTGCGCCAGTAGGAAGAGCGGGCTGTGTTGGTTACTTACTGACTCAAAAATGCAGCATAACTGACCGACCCCCAAACTTGGGCCTTCAAACCATAAGCATTTGTTTGGCTCACAAGCCTGCAGGGAGCTGGGGAGGTGTCTCATCTTCCCTGGCCTTGCTCACATATCTGTGTGTCAGCCCTCCTCGGCTGGGACCCATCTCATATCCCTCATGCGCTAGCCCAGGCTTTCTTTCACGGCAAGGGCAGAAGGACAGGAGCCCCAGGAGAAATGTGGCAGTGCTTTTTAAAGCTTCTGCTGGACTCACGTCTGCTAACACGCTGCCGGTCAAGGCAAGTTGTGTGGTTGGGGCCGGGATCAGGGTAGGGAGGACATCTAAGATTTCACAGCATAAGATGTGGATACAGAGAGGGGCGAAGAATTAGGACTCTGAATTAATTTTCCACCACCCCCGCCCCCGTGACATGGTTGTTTCAGTTCCAGGTACCAGTGAATACAAAGTCCACCAATGAGCGTTCGTTATGGACTCGCAAGGGCCAGAGACATGGAAACCCTCTGTGTTCTCCCAAGGTGGCCGCACCGCACCGATATGTTTATCCCATCCTACGAGCTCTTATCAAGTGACTGGAACTCCTCCCAGTGAGAGCCGGGGTTTATGCTTCCTTCTCCTGGAATTAGCGGTAGCTTGGGACTGCCCTGAACAATGAGCACAGGGGAAGTGATGCCATGTGACTTCCAAAGATGAGGTCACACGAAGATTCAGCTTCTGCTTGGCTCACTCTGTCTCAAGATGGGCACCTTTGGAACCCAGTAACCATGTTGTAAGGAAGCCCAGGCCACATAGAGAGGTCCCCTTGAAGAGGAACCAAGGCCTTCCCCCAACAGCCAGCACCGATTCACCAACCATGTGATAGACAACTTCGAAAGTGGCTCCTCCGGACCCAGTCACACCTTTAGAAACTGCAGCCTTGGCCGACATTTTGACCAAAACTTCATGAGAGCTGAGTCAGACCTACCCAGCCAAGCCACTCTCAGACTCCTGATCCATAGGAACAATGAAAGATAATAAAGGATTATTGTTGTTTTAAGTCATTAATACTTGGGATGATTTGTTATGCAGCATTAGCTAACTCTTGCAGCAGACTGGCTCATGAGGCTTAGGACAGAATGAGAATATACATAGTCTGGGTCTCCAGGTGACCAAGCAGACACTGATGGAATCAGCAGTGATATGTGTCTGAGTCTATTTGGGCTTAGATGGGGTGGCTTATAAACAGCAGGAATTTATTTCTCATCATTCTGGAGGCTGGGAAGTCCAACATCAAGTTACCAGCAGTTTGGCATCTGGTAAAAGCTCACTTCCTGACTCATAGACAGCTGTCCTCTCACTGTGAACTCGCACGGCAGGAGGAGCAAGGGAGCCCTCTGGGGTCTCTTTTATAGGAACACTAATCTATTCACTAGACCCAGTTACCTCCCAGACGCTCCCCTGCTCCAAATACCATCACACTGGCAGTTAGGATTTCAGCATATGATTTTGGTGGTGGTGGGGTGGAGGGGAGAACAAAAACTTTCAGTCTATAGCAATACAGAAAGTGTTTCATACAGTCAGGATATATTAGGGTTGCCAAGAGGAAGGGTGTGTTAGAGATATGGTGACCATATTTTCCCAGTTCAAAATTGGGGCGATTAACTAATGGTAGTGCACTGTATCTTGGAATTGGAATAAAATATTTAGACTAGGGCTGACCAGAGCAGTCAGGCTGGTATGGGCACTTGGTGCAGAAGCTGTCCTGCCAGCTGGGGCTCGGTGTGATCTGTAATGCCCATCTGTAGTGATGAGACCGGAAGGAATGGGGCAGGGTGCAGCCAGTCAAGAAATAACAGAGCAGTTAACACCAGGGTGGTGGAAAATTCAACTTCCAACAGGACTTGAGGCCCAGGATGACAGAAGATTTGACTTCCAGTAGACCTTGAGCTTCATTATACGCTCATTGTAATATATGAGCATGCTAGATGGCTCCCACGGGCACCATGACAGTTCCGAGGCTGACCATAAAAGTGGGCGGTGGCCCAGTTTCTGGGAATCCCAGCTCTTCCCAGAGTAGTTGAAATAATCCTACTGCTTATTAGCATATGAAGTTACCGAGCCCATAGAAACTACCCCCCCACCTTGTGGCCCCCTCCTTCCTAAGTGAGACTGACAGCACTCTGTCTGTGGAGTGTGTATCAACTGAACACCCAACCCCCACACCTCGTGGCCTTTCTCTTGCCTTCTGAAACCGCCTGCACTCTGCCTATGGAGTACGTATCTCTCTGAATAAATCTACCTTAGTCAACTGTGATTAGCTCTTGAATTCTTCCTGCAGCAAGCCAAGGACCTGCACTCGGCGGGGTGTGTCCTAGGGACTCAGCCGAGACCTGGGACACGGCCATCCTCTCGCCTCACATTCATTTTCCTCTATCAGTGACAGCTACTGTGATGGGGGAAAGTGACAACCTCATGAGTGTTTTCAGCCTTTGCCCTCTGGACCCTGCCTGAGAGAGGACTTTACCTGGTCGTCTTCCTCCCCTGCCCTCTTCCCAGGGAGGGTCGGCAGGATCAGGAGGAAAGTGGAGTGAAGAAGGAGAAGGGGTGTGTGGCTAGAGCTGGAAGGGGGGTTTGGGAGACAGGAGTTTTGGAAAGGAGAGGTCCAGGATCGGATGTGGTATGTCAGAGAAATAAACGGGAGAGGAAAAGCAGGATTTTGAGAAATATTGTTCTGATTGCCTTCATAGCATTTGAGAATGCGTCCAAATAACTTGAGTTATTTTGAAACATTTTTTGGTTGCCAGACTGAGTTTATCTGAAGGCAACCACTGTGAGTATGGACCACGTGGTAGATGGCTCGCGGGGTGCTGTGCTGTGATTTCACATCAGAGGGGAGCAGGGTGTGGGGAGTGTGCTTAATCGCAGAGGAGGTGATTGGGTCAGCGACTGTGAGGGGAAGAGGCTGGAAGCCAAGGAAATGTTCATTTGTTCCAGGCTGGGACGTCAGTGTGACTTATGGCTGGAGAATTTGGGCTGCCCCAGGCCAAGCTATATCCAGATGTATGAAAGGCGCCCAAAGGCTCAGATCTGCTTGTTTGTGGCATCACTGACCACTCCGGCTGTGACCCCCGGAGCGGCCCTGGGAGAGGAGGGGCTTGGTGGGAGTTTGACTGTCTGTCTCTCAAAACAGAGGGAGCTGGGCTGGAGGGAGAAACAGGAGCTTTGCTGGGCCCCTACTAGGAACTCAGAAGCAAAGACAAGGGGGAAATTTATCCTGAGAGGAAGGGGCTGTATAAAGAGCTGCTTCAGTTGCCTGGAATTTCTCAAGGGCTTGTGAGTTCCCCAAGGGCAAGGGCTGATTCTTATTTGTCCCTCAAACTTAACACCATTGCTGACAGTTTGTTATTGCTCCATAAATAGAAGAGGGAGGAAGGGAAGGAAAGAAGGAAAGTTGGTAGGTTCTGTGACCTGCCTTCAAAATTAATTGGCTACAATTAAGACACGATTTTTTTTTCACTGAAATCTAATTTCTCCAGGAGGCAGAGTTGGTGTAGAAGACCCTGATATCATGTATAGCACAGGGAACTATATTCAGTATCTTGTAGTAACCTGTAATGGAAAAGGCTATGATAACGAATATATGTATGTACATGTATGACTGAATTATTATGGTGTACAGCAGAAATGGACACATTGTAACTGACTGGACTTCAGTGAAAAACAAGAGACAAACAAACGAAAACGAAAACAAAACAAATCAAAAAAGACCCTGAAATCAGTCCTAAGTTTCTAGAGTTCTGGAGATCCTTTTGTCTCCTGTGACCCAGTGCTGCCTCCTCTCACGGTGAAGATGGAGTGACGGGGAAGCCCCCTGCAACCCCACAGATCTGCAGGCAAATCCCTGCTCTGCCCCTGTAGCCATGGAAACTCAAGCTAGTGACTTAGATTCCTTACGAAAGTTTCAGTCTCCTGTACAAGAAGTCGGGAACTTGCTGCAACGAGGGTTAAATGGTATGTGTCCAAAAGGCCCCGACACAGCCCTTACACGTGGGCTCGGACGCTCAGTGTCCCTTCCTCGGTGGGTGAACTCAGTCCTGCTCACACTTTCTCTCTTCTAGCTGCCCTCATGCACGGTCCTTCTCGTCTCTGGCCTCGTTCCCTCCTGACGTCTTCCAGTCTTGGTTACTGCTCCCTGGTTCTATTTCCCCGCAGTATTTACCTCACTCAACTCAGCCTCCTTGGTATGACTGTGACAGTGTCCCTCCAGGAGGCTCAGGCCATGGGAGATGAGGGGCCAGCACAGAGCCCAGAGATGAGCTGTAGAGATAGGGCTGTCCACTTGGTGGCTGTTGGAAGGTTAACACCCATCTCTTTCCAGCAGCTGCACACAGCCTGTTATTAAGGAAAAAAATTAATTAAAAATTTTAAACTGATGCTTCTCCATTCCATGGCATTCCAAGGCTCCATCTGAGCCGCAAGAGAACCCCATCCTTCTCCAGCCTTCCACCTCACCTCTGCACCCCCAGCTTCAATGGCTTCCCAGTCGTCAGCCCCCCTGACTCTGCCCTCCATCCTCTGCTCAGGCTCCGGAGACGGTGAGCTGCAGGTGGGCAGAAGCCTTGGTTTCTGACAGCGCGACCACTCTCATCTTCCCCAACCTCTGAAGGTGGGGGGCTTATGCAGGGTGCCCCAGCCCCTCTCTGGGCATTTAGACTGACCTCCGAGGAGCCTGCTTTTCCTGTAAGATTGCTGCCCACCAGCAGGTGGTAGGTCTGATTGCTGCCTGATTTGGAGGAAGACAACACGGGATGGGGTCAGCCTCTCCTGATGATGAGTATGCCACATTGTCAGGCAAAAAGCCCAAGAGCCCAGGGGAGTGCGGAGGTCAGAGTGGAGAAAGCACAGGGGCCATGCCCAAGGCTCACCCCCATGCAAGAGCTTCTGGGCCCTCTCCATATGCGAGACACAAACCCTCAGGAATAGATCAGGGTCTGCTTTCTGTCCACCGTGGGGCACCAGAGCACCGCAAGGAGAGCCTAGGGGACGCTGCCAGCGTGGCTCTGTCCAGTGTGAGGAGCCAGTGGCCTGGGAAGGAGCTGCTCCAAGATACCCTGGCAAGCCCTTGCCACATTCCAGAGCACCGAGGACCAAGAAGCCCCAGCCTGGCCAGAGGCATCTGGGCTGAAATCCAGCCCAGGCGCTTCCTCCCCTCTCCCCCACTTCCTCCCTTCTCTCTTCTCTTTCTGCATCTTGGGGCCAAAGGTTCAGCTAGACCGGCCATCTCCCTTCCCTGCAGAGGCTCTGTGCTGCAATCGGGGGATAGTAGGGAAAGGGGTGGGTGTCGGCCGGGAGAGCTTTTTGCTTTGTTTAAGGTTGTTGGAGAACCAGATCTCTCTAAAATATGGGCTGAGCACCCCAAGTGCCCAGTGCTGTGCTAGCCACCCCCAGAATACAGAGATGAGGAGACCTGGTTTCTGCCCTGAGCAGCCATGTACATCGAGGAGGGAGAAGACTGCTCACGGAAGGGTCCTTGACAGCCTCATTGGCTGGGCACCTAGAGGAGATGAAAAGAGGAGATATCACTGAGGCTTCCAAACCATTGTACCCCCTAGGCTGCACGGGACTGGGAGCCATATCTGCTGTTCATGGCCAGTGCTCAGCATAGCACCTGACCCACAAGAGGAGATTACGGCACGTTTGTTGAATTAATGAATAAATGAAATGAGGCAGTCCCAGAAGGCTTCTTGGAGGAAAGGGACTCTGAACAAGGCCTTGGAGGATGGGCAGGATTTGATAGGCCAGGCTAAAGGGAGCTTATGCTTGGCATCTACAAACCTTGTAAAGAAAAACAAGAGAGGGGACCGGGCACAGAAGGGTTGCTTTGGACCAGGGCAGGAGGAACAGCTCCCCTGTTACTCTCAGGATACAGTGCAAGCCCCTAGCATCACTCACAAGCCCCTTCAAAGCTGGCTTTGACTTCCAGGCAACTCAAGTCTGTATCCGCGGTCCTTAGAGTAAGACTCGTGCTTTCTCTCCTCCAGGCCCGTAAACATTCTCATCCCCTCTGGCAGGAAAGCCCTCCACCTCTGTTTCTACATCAGTGGCCTCTCCTCCCAGGGTCTTCCCTTCTGCAGTCAGGTTGGTCAGCCCTTCTAAGTGTGTCCACACCACCCCATGCTTGCCCCATGCCAGCACTTATCACTGTCCAGTGGCCATGTACAAGTTGCCCCGGATTCCCCCAGAGACTGCCAACCACAATCAGAGACGACTAACTACAACTTCATCAACGTGGGTGCCAATGTCAGAGGCGGCCAGCATCCAAGAAGCCGAAGGTGCAGCTGGCAAAACAAAGAAGGTGTGGTCCCAGACACCCTTGACCTTAGCGCCCACAGGTCGTCCTTCCTCCTCTCCAAGTGGAAGAGGCCGGGCTGAAACGGGCATGGCTTACCAGGCTTTTCCATAAAGCATTAGTGATTTCTGATCGCGCTTGGCAAGCATCCTTGGTGGGTGTGGATTTCCCGTTAGCCTGTACCTTGGGCTTGGAGATCAAGTCTCATTCTCCTTTGTGTCACCAACTAAGTGCCACACCAAGCACATGATAAGCTTAATAAACAATTGTTTATTTATTTGGTTAATCAATTGATCACACCCACTTCGAGAAGTTGTTGTCATAACTCCAGTCTCTGCCCCCAGTCCTGAATGGGCTGCAGGAAGGGGTACCCATGCCTAGAACATATGACCAGCATAGAATATAATACCAGAAGTAGGAAAAAGAAGGCTACTGCGGTAAATGAGAGAGAAGTTTCCAAATAAACATTGTATGTCTGGAAGTAGAAAAGGCCTTAGAGAGCACCCAAGAGTGGTCCAAGCTCTTACTTTATGAGATGGGAAATTGAGACCAAGATATGGACATTATTTGTCCAAGTTCACAGGACATGTCTTGCATGTCAGATCCAGACCTTTGGCCTTGGTCTTTGAGGTTCAGCGTTCTCTCCACTATGGCAGGCTCTCTTCCTCAACCACCACTAAGTCTCTTCCCACAGCCTTTTCCCAAGAAGTAGCCTGGTGGAGAGATCACAGGCATTTGCCAGACCTGAGTTCAAATCCTGATTCTGCTACTGAATTGCCATTTGGCCTCGTCTAGCACTCAGACGAATCCCTTGTGACAGAGAGATCCAGCCCCCGCACAGGGGCCAGCGTGTGGCTTCCATGACACAGCGCCAGCAGAGAGCCCACACGGTGGCCCTCAGTCAGTGTCAGCTCTGCCCTTCTTCCTCCCAGCTCTTGCTTCTGTCCTTTCTCTGGCTCGTAGAAAATCGTGAAGTCTCCTTAGAAAGGCTCCTGGAGGTCCATAGGCCCATTTCCCTGCATGTATTCAGGGCCCATCCCTCCCGCCTCTCCAAAGCACCCCATCCTCCCCTCAGCATCTAAGGAAATAGCCAAGCCAGTGGACAAAGTTGGGGGGAAACCTTCTGTACATGTAAGATCTAACTTGATACTTCTCGCTGTAATTTAGGAGTGAAGCCATCTTCTCTATTTTGTCTTCCAGGAGGATGTCTTCCAGGAGGATTCCACTCCTTCCTTTTTCTGCTGTGCGTCTTTATTTATTCTTCACTGTCTTGCAAGATTTAGCCTCCTTTTCTCCTTCCCCAAGGCTTCAGGAGCCACCTCCACCCATTCTCTCCATCTTCCCCGTCCCAGTGATTCGCCTGTAGATGGCAGCTGATGTCTCCTGCACACAGGTCCCACGGGGACCCACCCCACCCACCCCACCAAGTCCCAGACATTGTCCCAGCCAAGCTCTCGGGGCCGCCTCTGGCGGAAAGCTTATCTCTGCCGCCCACACGACGGCTCCCGAGGCAGCCAGTCTGGGACAGAGCAGAAACAGAACAACGGCAGTGAGTCTGCAGGCGGGGCCCTGCCAGCTGTCTCACCCTGCTGTCTGCTCGGGAACAAGTGAAGAATCGAGGTTGCCTTCCTGGCTCCTCAGACAAAATGCCAGTGATCCCCAGGGCCCCCACCCATTCTGCAAGATGGGTGCTACTAGCCCGCCTTGGCCTGGGCCCTCTTCCTGGGCAGCACCGGCCCCTTGTCAGAAAAATTTCAGGGCAGGTCAAAGCAGTCTTCCAAGAGAACAAGCCCTGTGCCGAGCAGGGCGGGAAGGGCCGGGGTTCCCATTTAACCCGAACGCCCAGACCGTGGGCTAAACCTCACCAATTAGGAGGGGGGTTCGGGGTGTTGCTTAGGGCAGCCTGTCTTTTCTTGTACTGCCTGCCTCTTTGCTTCTTGCTGGCCTCACTCCCCCCTCCCCCTCCCCAAGTCGGGGAAGGTGGGGGATGGAGGGCAGGGAAGTAACCGATTGACTTGGCAGAGTCCCTGCCTTTTCGTCTCACTAGAAGACCTCACTGATGTTCCGGTGTTGGCCAGCCGGGGGAATGGCGCGACCTTGGTCCAACTTTGTCAAAGCACCTTCATTCCCATTCATTTTAGCTCCCTAGCAGCGCTAGGTAGGGTGTAAGGTAGAGAGAGACAGGCCTCAGAGTTCACGGGGCTCAGCTGTGCCCAGGCTTAACGCCTGCCTAACCCTTGGCATCTTGGACTGTCCCCTTAGACAGCATGTCTTCCGTGGATCCAGAGGACTTCCCGAAGCTTCCACACACTGGCCTCCTTCTGAGGTTCCCTGGGAGCATGGACTCTGGCTCAAAATCTTGCTTTGCTCTGAGTGATTGTGGAAACTTGGGCAAGCTACTTAGCCTCTCTGTGCCTCAGTTTCCTTATCTGTAGCACAGGGCTGTTACAAGGACTAATTGATTGCTATTTAGAAAGTGTTTAGCACAGTGCCGGGTCCCTAGTAAGAGCCATGTTGGTGTTTGCCCAGTGAGTTAATCCCAGTTCTGAGACACAGGATGGCCCAGATCCCAGCCCTTCCCCCAGGTGCGGTCAGTGCCCATGGCTCCCCGAATCTCTTCTTCTCCAGACTTTCTATTTGCTCAACAAATATTTATTGAACACTTACGATGTGCCTGTATGCTCGGCCTTGGGTTGGATGCATGAACAGAACCAAATGGCCCCTGCGCTCATGGAATTTACAGTAAATGCACAAATAAATACATCATTTCAAACTGTGTGGTGTGCCATGAAGGAAGCAAAGAGCAGGGTGCTGGGCAAGAGATTAACCAGGCAAAGCTACCTGGGGGCAGGAGGCTATGCGCCCCTACATGGGGAAATGACACTGAGCCCAGACCTGAAGGATGAGAAGGAGTGGATACAGGAGTTGGGGGATGGGGAAGAGCATTCTGGGCAGAGGGAAGAGGCGTGCCTTGGGGCAAGATGGAGTCTGACGTGCAGCAGAAATGAAGGAAAGCATCGTGGCTCGAGCCCAGGGAGTGGGGGTGTGAGAGAGGATGCTGAGAGTCAGGTAGAATGTGCGTTGGGATTTGAGATTGCCTGTCTCGTAGAATGTGATGCATGGAAGGGCTTTATGCGGTGAAGGGGCACAGCCCCATTCGGTTCTCGGAACCCACTTCCGGGCTGTGTGTGGAGAGCGGCTGGGTAGCGAAGGGGTGGAAGGAGTGGTTAGAGGGGTACGCAGTGATCGAAGTGGGAGGTGCGGTGACCGGCTGGAGAAGTGGCTGTGGGTGCAGAGAAGTGGGTCAAGTGGAGATGCGTTTTGGAAGTAGAAAGCAGGGTTTAGAAGCAGCATGTGTGAGAAAGCTTTTAGGCGGTTAAGAGGTGTTAAGCCGGCTGTGATTCAAGGGGCTGGGAATGGGTGGATGTGGGGGTACTGGATTTGAAGGTGGTGTCGAGGATGCCTCTCCAAGTTGTGGCTGGGGCACCGGGGTGGATGAAGATGGAGAATGTAACATTTGCAAGCAATCCTTTCTTCAACATTCTTTGACACTCTCTTCTGAATATGCTCCATTTTGCCTCCAATGAGGACCTGGAGTACTTGTCTTAGAACAAAACAGAGGACTCCTGGACACGGGTTCTTGTGAGCACAGATCACAGAATGACTGTTGCCTCTCTAACCTAAATGTGCGCTTCCACCCCAAAGCATTCAGGGTCTGGTCCAGATGAATCTTAGCTCTGCCACTTACTAGCTATGAGATCTTGAGAAAATTGTTTAAATCTCCCTGTGCCTTCATTTCCTCTTCTACAAAATGGAAACAAGAGGGGAGCACCTGCCCCGCTGGTTATTCTACGGATAGTCTAAGACTGTGGTGGGTGCGCTGGGAGTATAACCATTCATAGGGTGAATGCTCCTCCTTGCCAGCGCTTCAGGTCACTGTAAGCTTATCATCCCTGAAAACCCTTCGAGCTTTCCTATACATGTCACTTCTAAGCCTACCTCCATTATCCTGGGCTCACGCACTTGTATTTTTAAAGTCAAGTTCAGGGCCTGACGCTGACCCCTGTTCAATCTCATTTTGTTAAATGCAGCCCTTGGCCCCAGCCTGTCAGTTTCCTCTTCATTACAGTGAGAGAGAGGTCGCGTAATGCAGGCTGAGTTCATCTTAGGGGCTACGAGGTGCCCACAAATGGTGCTTCTGCCTGCTGGTTAGAGGCCCTGGCCTTGGAGGCGAGGCAGGGGCAGGTCAGGGCCGAGATGGTGCTGGGGACACAGCGGGACTCTGCCTTGGCCGCAGGTGGGCCCAGCACAACCGTCCTGGATGCCTTCTCGACCAAGCCTTCCTCCCTAACTTCCTGAGGGTGGGCAGGGCACCCATCAGGCCGAGAGCCCCCAGGGCCATGCAGCCCAGGACTTCCTTTGCTTCTCCATTGGCTCTCCAAGCACCAATCGGGCTCTGTTCATGGACAGAGCAGAATTTGAAGGCCTGGCGCTTAGCAAAGGCCTGTGAGGAGAGCCAAACCTAGAAGCCCAGCGAAGCAATGACCCATTGATCCTGCAGTCCTTGCAGTCTCTGGGAGAGCGGAGAGTGGAGGGACACACCCGGACGCCAGGCGCGTGTGGCGCCCTCCGGGCCAGGCACAACAACATGCCTTTGGTACGACTGGAAGGCTCACCCAGATTCCAGAACTGATGGGCGCCTTCGTCCAGGGCCTGCCGCTAGCCTCCGTCTCCTGTTAATACACTCTTTGTTCGCCGTGTATGCTGAGAGGTATTTTTCCAAATGGTAGATTCTAGGGAGAACTGAATTTCCCTCAGAAGCGGGCTTACAAGTAAGTAACTGGGAGGGTGGGGAGACAGGGGAAGGCCAATACTGTTACATTCTAAGGCTGGCAACCCACACGTTAACCCTGCTGGAGCAACTCACCAAGACGAGCATGAGAAAGAAATTCTAGAAGGTACCCTCTTTCCCAAGTATCTCATCCCTCGAATAAACCCTGATTAATTTCCTCTGCCAATCTGCTGGTCTGGCTTGGAGAAGATTTGGGGGAGAGAGGGGCTGAGACAGGATAGAGAAGAAAAATGCAAACCCTTTGTATCTGTAGAGTGATTTGTATCTTTTCTAAGCATTTTTGCTTCTATGAGTTCAGCATTCATGATGTGCTATTATTATATATCCATTCATCTGTCAGACTTTAAGTGAGAGCCTATATGTGCCAGGCCACCTGCTAGGTGCTAAGAGGAATGTACTGATGAATTAGAACCGAAGGAGAAAAAAACCTCAGTCGGGGTGGGGTAGGGGACAGAATAAACAAATGATGAGGACTCAGGTTGGACAAAAAGAGTAATGGAGACCAAAGGAGTGTAACCCAGCAGGACCCTGGGGGGCCTTCCAGATTCAGACCCCTCCCCCATATCCCCTGCTGCGGCTCCTTTCTGAAGTGCTCAGATAATAGTATATCATGTATATTTCCTGAGTTTTTCAGATGCTTAAAACCACCACCAAGGGAAGAAATTAACTACTTGATGATCAAGAGTGATTGGCCCCACCCCCTAGATTAGACATTCAGAGATTTTTACCCCCTGATAGGCAGGGTCAATGCCCCTACTCAGCCTGGAAGCAGTTTCAGAAAACGGACCTTCGCCCTT